TGAATATTTTTAAAAAATATTACCATTATTTTTTGTGAAATTAGAGAATGATTTAGACCCCAAATAAAATTATTATAATTTAGGTAGGTTGGCAATGATTTCAAAATTGTTTTTGATACAGACCTATAAGATAGATGATACTATGCTAACGGATAGTGATGATAGAACTGATTTATTTTATACAGAGAGTAAATATGGCTTATTTTAAGTTCAATTTACTCATTTTTTTTAAATACAACATCCTATATATTATTTTAACATTTAATTCGTTATGAATTTACCTTTCTAACGATACCAATATTATAAATATACATAATAAATATATATAATTGATTGATGGCGCTAGTATTACTAGAGATACGAAAAAATTTGTAATTCAAAAGTTGTACGACCATATTTTACAATTATATTTAAAAATATGTTTAAAATATGCCTTTTTCAAATTCTTATAACTTTAATTTGAAACGTGTCTACAACACAAATTGAACTATAGAGCAATCACGCACTAATGGAATACTATATATATATTGTTCAACTTTATAGTTTTTTTTTATATGTATAAATGCGTGATCGGTAACAAAATATTAAGCACTATTTTTTGACAGTGCAAAAATATTTTTAATTTTAGGTAAGTTTTGACTGAGAATATTAGGTATATATCTCAAAAACGCACATTATTTTACTTCCTTCTCTCATACGTTTCTGTGACATCTCTCATCTTTCATCCTCTTAAGTCAATAAATTGTGATAATCATAGTATGTATTATTTAATTTTTTATATCTTGACGTATATTATGTAATTATAATTGGTTAGTAATTGATCTAACTCCAAGATGGCGTATTTTAACCTCGTTGTTTTGTTAAAATGTAAAATTTTGGAAGCTGTACCTAGTACCTACACAATAGTTTGTTAAACTTTTTGAATGAACCTGTATGTTTTTTAGAATAAAACAGAGACATTGTAAGCTTAAAAACAGTCTGCTCTAGAAAATAAAAAAAAAATCTTTACACCTCTTTGCCTAAAATTAATTTAAATCTGGTCTGAAATTAAAAACGGTAAAGGCTGTGTATATGTATAAGTAATTACTCATTTTGTTTTAAGTAACGATGAGCTTCTACAGACTTGAATGTTTCACTGCCATACGCTTTTTCAAATAAAGAGATCTGAATTGTTTTTTGGCTTATGGTGTAAAATTGAACTATTGCGAGAAAATGGTTTTTGATTTTCTGTGATTTTCCATCCACATCGATTAAACTGAAAATTTACTCCTAGTCGTTCTAGACATAATTACGCAGTATTTTTAATTATATTCAACATTAATTTACCAAACCAAATATTTTTTACTTTTTATTTTATTTATATTTAATTAACGCATTTTAGAATTGTGTTCGTCATTTAAAAGAGGTTGTTCATTACAAACTGCAACTGGTATACATTCGATCCCATCATTTCAAAATGTTTCTCCTATAATAATTCTGTTATTTTCCCTATAATGTTAACCTTTTCGGATTTAACGAAAAAAGAGCATTAAATATAAATCTGGTATCAGTTGCAGTTTTTATTGAGGGCCCCTCGTAAGTAAACGTTTTAAATCCTACGAATAATCAATAAATACGAGATGTATCATAAACGTATCGTTAGATGTGTATCACCATATCTGAAAATATTGTTGATTCATGGACCATTTTGACATATATGTTTAGCATTTTTGTAACTGAATTTATTTTCGATCAAAATTTAGGGCAGAAAATTGCAATATTTCACATACATGAAAGCCGATTTTAGCGTATTTTAAACATACAATCAACATTACAAAATATTCGTTAAGCGTAGGTCGTCCCATTGAGGCTTTTATACTTTTTCAGTAAAGTACTTGGTTATTTTTTTAAACCTTAAGCGTCAAAACTGATTCAATGGTTGATAATATATTGTCTCGTAAAAATAGTTAGTTTTTTGTGAGGTAATTCTTAATCGCTGTTCATATAAAGTGTATGAAACACCCATTTATAGCCATAGTTCTACGCTACTGAATTAAGGTTTTGTGAAATTAGGTGATAAACATTTCTACGTTTTTATATATTTTTAGAAAATGTTTAATAATACTTGGAAGATAGTTTTGACGCTTATCGTCAGTTTTTTTTTTAACAATATGTTGTAATATTGAAGTGTATACATTTTAGTTCAATTTAGTGTGTAATAAGAATGTAGCATTTAGATAATTGTAATGTTGCGGGGCCCTTTTGAGCTCTTTTTTTTTGTACATAATGATATGGCCCCCAAACTGCCGACTGCTGCAAGAAGGGCTTGATCTCTTTATTGTTACTTATTTTTTACAATCAAAGCTCCTAATTTAATAAAAGAAAATCTAGACATTTTGGTTGAGATTCTTATCAAAATGAAAAAACACTTAACTGCTAAGTTTAACTAACTGTTTTAGCAATGATGTGATTGTATGTAATGTTAAGTCATGTTTATATATCATACTAATAGGATTTAAATAAATCTCTCTTTATTAATTGTGTTTTTATGTCCTACACCCCATCTAATCGTCAAATTACTTCTCCTGTACCTATTATTGGCACACCCAGTATGTATAATCAGCATTTATATCAAATCAACACCGTTGACGTAGTCGTATATGTGCGTGTTGCACTAAAGAAAAGCAAAGATCAATGAATTTTCACATTCAAAATAAAAATCATACGGCGTTTATGTTTATAGATTTTCTTCTAAAAATATCTGACCACATTTAAATAAAAATGTACGATAAAGCGGAATCTGCGTCGTACTTGATAATATGAAAATTATTTATATTTTGATTGGTCTAACCGTTATACTTTGTCTATAGACTGTATAGGTAATTTTTTATGGTAAAAAAGAGAATTCTATTAAAAATTTAAATTCAATTAAAGTATCCTCAAGAAAAACACCCCTTTAAAGTTTTACAAACGGTAGAAATATCAAGAAAGGACATTAGAGCGAGAGAGATCGAGCTACATTCCAATTTAAAGGAATTTTAGATTAATTCCATAGGTGGCGGCTGGTTATTTAAGGGTATGGGGGTCTATTCTGTAATAATTCCTTTATATTTAACGGCCTTTAAAAATATTTTTTGTTTACTTCTGTTATTATTTAAACGGATCTTTAAATTACATTAGAGGACTATCTTAAAGAAATCTGTTTAAATAATGACAGAAGTAAATTAACGAATACGAAAATATTTTAAAGGCCGTTAAATATGAAGGAATTGTTACAGAATATACCCCATGGTCTGTTATTAACCGCTAGTAACCAGGATTTTTTGACAGCGGTTGCTGGAAAAAACTAATTTCTTGGTTACTTTTGGACCACGGCTTAGATCAGGCGAGTTCGGATAGTCAGGGGCTGGAGCGGGACAAAATCGGAGTTTTTTAGGGTGCTTTTAAATGACATTTAAGCGCGTTAAACTGTCACTAATCGGCCTAAACCGAAAGCTAAAAGGGTCGTTTGGAGTAAAAAGTGTTAAAGGAGCTTGGCAGACCGAACGCAATGATCATAGATTACGGTAATGTGAAGCCTAGATGACAGATTGACATTTGACTTAATTGTAACCGTAAAAATATAGCGGTTAGGACCGATTCCACCGTTGTGTTAAACGGGGATTAAAATGACATTGTTAATGTAAAAATGTCATTTTAAACTTCGTTTAACACAACGGTGGAATCGGTCCTAAGTGAATTTACGTTTGAGTAACCATTTTCCACCGACCTGGATATTAAAACTGGATGACTATGGACCAATTCCACCGTTGTGGTAAACGAAGTTTCCCACGGGCGTGCTACGACAATTTATATTATTTTTTATTAATAACGCGCTATTTTAATAATAATTATTATTATTGGAACATTTGTTTTAGCTGCGTATTAATCAAAAATCATATTTAAGTGATTTTCTTAAATTAAAAGGTGTCATAGTTGAATGTAATAAGTGTTCAATTTAATTTTGATGATCCTTTTTAGTGCATTTCGATACGCACATGTGGGCGCCAAAGTGTCAAATATCAACTCGCTATGCGGCTTGATTTTGTTGATCGGCTTTGTTCTTCCTGTTTAATCTATAGTTCAGTGCCTTTTTCAGGTAACCGCGTCCCTAATTTAACCGATTTTTTCGTAAAATGAAATCTGAAATCTCCGAAAATGGGACACATGGAAAACATGTTATTTTTTTGGAAAATGAGGTTTTTATTGCATGGGTCGATAGAGCTCGCTACTTACTTCAATTGAAGGTCTGTTCTGCAGTAAAATCGGGGTCAAAAAATTCGAAATCGACGAAAATACACCTACTCGCTCTTCTGTTAGCCTGATCAGTTTCAGAAGATCATTTTTGTGAATAAAAATCTAACATCAGGATAGCAGAAGAGCGAGTAGGTAAAGGAAATATTTTAAATTGGCGGGAAAATTAAGTTCCTTAATCAAATTGACTTTATGAATTAGGGTAACGCAATATCAACTTTTTAGACCTTCATGCTTTTCTGTTATCCTGTTACTAAATACGCTATTAAAATAAGCGCGACATCAGCTAGACATTAAAATTAGGTAGGGTACGATTACAATTAGAACACAGCTACGTCACCATTTGGCAACGTAATTAATTGGTTATCGCCACCTAATGGGGGTTTAGTGGAGTGTTAATATTATAGAAATATAGGAAATATTGTTATACTCATAACAACTTAAATTTTGTTTATTGAAAGTTATAGATAATATGCATTCGAAATTCGAAGTAATGGTTATGACGTAGCTGTGTTCTTCTAATTGTAATCGGACCCTACCTACTGTTCAATAATAAAATACTACAGTACTTTCTGAAGGTTCCAACTATCATATTTTTGGAAGAATTTGGCTTGATTAATTTGGTATAAAATAAGCATTTTACTTTACTTTTTACTTACATGTAAATAGGTATCACAATTACGAGTATATTTGGAGGATCTTCTTGTGGTTGTAATAAAAATATATTTTGTTTCGTAATTTTTATTGACAAAAGTAAATACATGTTTATAGCACAGCTGCTGAAATTAAAATACAAGTAGTAAGCACCAGATAGGGTATGATTAGTTTTATTAAAATTCATTATTTTAAGACACTGGAAAAATCAATCCATATAGTGATGTATTTACATTTACAAGGCCTCTTATCACGCTGTAGAATGCTTCATATTCTACTCATAATAGTATTGATATGTTAATATTGTCATTCAGATAGTTCCATATAGTTTCTACATTTATATAAATATCTTGTTTGTTTTTTAATTCTGATTTTAATGTACACGTGCATGCGGTTTTCACATCAGGAATTTGCAAAAACTGAGGACAAAGCGAACACAAATTTAGAAAATATCAAGACATTAATGTTTTTGATTGATAATCGATGGAATATAAAAATATACACCCCTGTAAAATGCACATTTATTAACCAATCTTTTTTTATATATATATTTATACAGGGCGTTACCAAATAGGGATGCCATTTTTCACTAGTCCAAAATAATAATAGGATTTTTATTGGCCATGTAATTAATATTAACAGTTAGATGAAACAATATTTTACAGCCAGGGTTGTGTTCGATAAGTTACTCTCAGAGTACATTTTACTCTTTCATCGTTCGATTATTATCGAGTAACTAATTTAGGTTCATTAAGTAAGCGTTCGAAAAATTGAAGTTTTGGACATCCGTAACCCAACAAAATAGCAAGGTAGATTTTACTCGTCTTGCGCAATGAGATTATTGCCGCGTTTGAAAATCCACATCCGATGCATTTTTTACATCTCGAGCGTTTGTTTATCCACATCAGACACATCTGTCATACTACATTTACGTATACTGAATCACGTGATCAAAAATTTACTACATCTCAGATGCATCCGATGTGGATATTCAAACGCGGCAATTATGTGATATAATTTTAAAAAAGGAACACGGAACAAGAACACCGATCGCAAAATTCAGGAATTGTGGCCGGTTACTATTACAGTGTGCCAGAAGCAGTGAGTTTTTTTATCCTTCTTCCTCCATGGTTCTTTTGTGTTATGATAATTTTGTGGAATTAAATGTATTATTAAATAATGCATCAACCTACAACAGAAGAGCATTTATTGTTCGAAATAAATGGACAAATTGTTAAACTAAATGAACAGGACAAAGACTTAATTTATAGATTAACGCCCTTATGCACCGTACACGTTGAATCTAGATTAAGAGTTTAATCGGGTTTAGTACTATTTTTAGCTATGCACCGTAATAAAAATCATTCTTAATTCTATTTTATTCTAATCCATCAATATCGGAGGATTAAATTATTTAAACGAGATTTTCTAACGTCAAAAAGATGTCAGTGGCTTGTCAGTGTATTTGGAACTTTCTATTTGTGTCTCTTGTATTTATTTTATTTGAATTTTATTAAAAAACGGAAATATAATACCAGCTTTTCCTGGAAGGTGACAAATATTCTAGCCAACATTACGAAAGAAATGAATATTTTTATACAATGGACAATTTTGTAATTTTTAAGTTTTTTATGTTCTAACGTTACAACATAATTCTGTAGATGTTAGATGGCAAATCCAAATATGTTGAAAAAGGTAAAAATAAGAAATACATATATTATTTATGTAATATTGTCCACTTTTAAATACTGAAAATATGCCATATCTAGTTTTGAACATGCAAAGTATAGGGAAGTATTCACAGGTATATCATTTTGCATAGAAAAGCTTGAAAAACAGCAATTTGTATGTAATTATGTTAATTGCCAAAAATGTTATTGATTTTGCCATCCAACCATAGAATTATTTTTTAAATTTATTTGACATTCTTTTTATCCTGCGTAAAATTCGATATGCGGTGTGTTTACGATTTTGGTACATTTAAAAAATAGGGCTTTATCTTCCAACGGCCTCTATCCTTTGACATACATTTCTTCTACTCAAATCTATAGTTTTCTTTTTTTGTGAAATTTATAAAAATCCTGTGTTGTCAGATTATTACTTAACTTGATTATCTAATCCTTAGCCGGTGCATAGAAAATACCCACTAGTCATTTAAACGAGATTAATTTCAAAACGGTGCATATGGGCGTTAAACACGGTGAGTAAAAAAGTATACAGGTTTTATTCAAGGAGACTTCTTGGTTTTACCCAATTAGTTATGTGATAGTGTGTGGTCCAAAGTGCACTGAGGCTCTTATTGTACCTTCTCCAATTAGGTTAATTACTTTAATGTAGAAAAATCCTAAAACCATGCCATAATTTTTAAAAATCCAAAAATTTTGTCATTTCTCTGACATCTGACAAACGTTGATCTCAAAAACTCTTCAGAGAGTAAACTGTATGAGAGCCATTTATCGAACACAACCCAGTAGGAATAGTTCAGGTTCTTGGAATGACGAAGCATAGAAAGAAATTGACCAAATTGTACTGTTTAACTGTATGAAGTTTGTTATTTTACTGTGGTTACTTATAATCGCAAAAATTTTTATTTTGGAGTTTTGTGAAAGATTGACAAGGAGTTTGGAAACATTGTACACAGTGTGTCTACGTAAGTTGGCGTCATATAGAAAACTTTTTTATTATTAATTTTAGGAAAAACAATTTATTCTTCATAAAAAATTGTACATGGTCTAAAACTTAAAATGCAACCAAATCTTGCACAACTTTTTATAAAGAATAACTTTTTTCCTAAAATTACTAATAAAAGGTAATCCATATGCTGCCAACAGTGTAGCTTGACACAATTTTGTATTTTCAAGACATACTATGATTTTTCAAAGAAGGCAAACGTTTATTAAGGATCCAAAAAAAATTAAAATTTTATCAAGTAACAGGCTATACTCATACATTCACCTGATAGGGCACAGAACATATATTTTTTTACCTTAAATGTACTAATTATTAGAAGGCCACACATTTTTAATTTCAATCAACATTTTCTAATAATAATAGTTTATTTGTAAATCTTAGGCGAAGTCTAGCTTGTGGATGCCCCACTCAACCGAGTATAAATCAAAAATAATAATTAAAATTAATACAAGCCACGTTGTTCTGTAATTAAATTTTTAAGAACACTTTTACTCACAAGAAAAATAAAAAAATTTGATTGTATATATATAAAAAAATATATTTTCAGATCCGTTAATAGATGTGCTTTTTACAGGTGGTTTTTTTTTAAGTAGATATTGAAAAAGGGGATTGAGCCTTGATTCAACCTTTAAACATCCTTCCTGTAGATAATAAAATGAAAATATTTCAAAATTTCACTCCAAACTCAGATTTTTAAGTAGATATCCGGGATTATTTTTTGAATGAGATTCCGTTTCATTTTGTCCGTAATTTATTGAAAAACCTTCAGAGATGTAATTTTTATTTTGGTAACTTGACCAGTGAATCTAGACAGACCCATTTTTGGTGCTTATTAATTATTTTGTCAATAAAATCAGAAAGTGTCTAGGATTCAATCGTCCAAATACACTTTCAATTAAAACAGCAAATAAAGGCAGGAATTCTTAAAAGGCTAAAAATATATTTTTTTTTTGTTATAAAATGCTATTTTTCTTCTTTTTTTACAAAATATATTCATTTATGTATACAAAAAAAAGTAAAAAAAAATTAAAACGCCCCCATAAACCTTACATTGCTGAGTATAAAGTTTTAAAAAATGAGATCAATGAAAAGTTTATGGTTTCCGAAACTTAATGTTAGACAAATTCACAATTGAAGTTTCCAAAATAAAAATACTTTAGAAAATCAATCATAATAGTTATTTTGCAATGTGGTATAATACATTAATTAATTTGGTAGATTTACTGGACACGTCACGATATTTTCACCAAATTATCCATGCTCGTTTTATGTCAAGTATCCACTTTTATTTTAGACCAAAATGTGCTCTTCGATTCCTTAAATACAACTGTAAGCAATAAAGTTTAGTCAAAACAATACAACAACGTTCTAAATGTTAGAATCAAAGTTTTTCCTTCAGAAAATGTATTTGTAACTCTCGATTGACAAGTGGTTACTAGGAAAGTAAAATTGTAAAAAATAAGAGCATAAATGCTTGTCAAGAATTGGAAATTGTTTATTATTAAACTTTATAGATATATTTTAGGATTTCTAGAAAAATCAAAGTCTAAAATAACAGTGGACGAATTAATTGATGAAGAACCAAAAATACAGTGCAGTATCCAGTAAGAAAATAAAATTTTATATACAATGTACACAAAAAAAAACCATTTTTTCCAGAGACTTTTCCCCTTTCGTCAAAGTTGTGTGTATAAAAAAGCGTCCTTGGGAGAAAAATCAGGTAAAGTCAAGGTTCTTTTTTTCTTCGAAAAATGTATAAAGTGAAAAACGTTTTCCGCAAATTTATCCACAACATATCACATGATATTATTTTATCAAAAGTTATATATAGCACCTATGGAGCCAATGGCACGAAATGCATATATATCCTCACAGCCAAAATGCTTACAATTTTTAGTTTCGAATACTGACTTTACAAAAAACTTATTTATATAATTTACGAATGTATTTAATCTTTAAAATGGCCATTATAGGTGCTACATGAAAAAAGAACAAACTCAAATGACCTATTTTTTTAAATCATACATTACCGCCGAAAATTTAATAGATAAAAAGGACCATAAGAAGCCTAGAACAATATTGGAAACTTTACATATGATCCTATCCATCTACCAAATCACAGGAAATAATAGATTTATAAAAAACAAAATCAGTTGATAAGTCTTGAGATATTTACAGTATAAATACAATGACAAATATACATCTATAGATACACATTGCGAATCAGTTCAAAAACTTCCTGCATTTCCGAGATCCACACGTACATGGAATCTTGTCCTCCTCGAACGGGAACTTATAGTCGTAGGTTAGTTCTTCGCCACTAAGTATTCTCCTCAGCGCGAAGATGATGATGTGCTTGTGACCCAATATTTCCACCACTCTTGAATAGCAGTTGGGCTAAAATAAAAAAAAAAGAAGTGTAGAATTGGTGAAAAATATAAACAATTCTGTGAAGACGGAGAATAAATCGCAAATTTAGCACACGCTAAAGTTGATAAGCTTTCAGTATACAGTATCGGCTATTGAACGCTTTCCAATACGCTTTGCTAATGTCAAAGTGAAAACTAGAAAGTTAGCATGAGCACGAGCAAGAAATGAATAATATCAACGGGAGATGTCAAAACGCGGCTTACTAAATCACTTTTGTGCAAGCAGAAGCTGAAGATGGAAGTCAAATTTCTTTAGAAAATCATCGGTAAGTAGAATAAAAAAATATAATAATGTTGGGATTTATTACTCCTAATCAGATCAGTTAGAATTTACATATATTCTTCGGCGAATTTATATACTTAGTAATAGACTAGATATTATGCCTTTGCACAAAAAAGATAGGTTGTTTTATTATATTATTGTAAATTACAAATCGTCCCCTTACTGCAAATACCACCTAATAACATATTTTGTCATACAGTCCAAGTTTGCGTGTAAAATTTTATCAGTAAAACAGATATTTGTTAAATAGTTATTACTAAATTTTGTCAGTAGTTTGTAGCATTGAGGTTGTTATAAAATCTTTAGAAAAGTAGTATTCTAATTTAAAAATAAATGAATTCTGCTGAAAAGTGTTAGACTTATATCGTTTTGCCTGTAAAGATTTTATACAAAGAAAAACTATGTGTTTTTTTAATATCCGCAATAATCTCTATTTTCCTTGATTAAAAAAAATTAGAATAAATTTTGAAAAAATACAGATATTTATTACTACCTATACATCATTTTATTACAATGTGATCTTATTTGTTTTTAGTCATAATTTAATTTTAAATGGAACGTTGTATCGGTTAACAGCATTTACTAATAGATTGAGCTTCGAATGGTACTTGTGATTGTACATACAGGTGGAGAAAAAGGATTTATTCCTAATGCTTTACTCATATTTCGTTCAGGTACGTCTCTACATACATTGAAAAGTGTTATTTTGTAAGTATCGATTGTCCCAAATATTTATAAACACTGTATATATCAGGTATAACATGTTTTAACTTATTTAGGGAAAAACACTGTTTAATAGTAATGACTATAGTAGTAAAAATAATTTAATTTGAATGTGTGGAAAAATGCACAATAACTTCACTCATTAGCGTCGAAAAAAATGTTTGTTGGGCTAGAACGAAAAACATGTACAACCTTATTTTTAGATAAATAATTTGAAAGTTATACAGTTGTTATTTATGGTTTTTTTCATTGGTTTTAAAACCATATATAATAAAAGATAATTCTAACAGTCAAATTAGGCAACACAATTTACAATGTCTGTTATGTTGCACTTCTATTTTTTTTTTTTTTTTTTTTTTTTATTAATTTACATTCAAATAAATTTTCAATCCTTTACTTCATATTGTACTGAATGTTTAGTTATTAAATTAAATTTATTCTATTTTTTTTTTGTTTCTAAAAGTGCAGACTACCATGATGACATGAATCGTTCAAACTATATGAAGTGGGTTCAGGAACAACTATTGTCCACTATGACTCAGAAATCAGTTCCGGTTGTAGATAACGCTTCTTAACACAACTTAAAGACTGAAAAAGTATTACTTCAACATCTAGGAAAGCAGAAATGTTATAATGGTTTAGGGCCCATAAAGTTGACCATGTTGCCAATAAGACAAAACCCGCTTTGTATGAATTAATGAAAACATTTCGGTAGGTATTCCTGTTTCCTATAAATTGGACTATTTACTGAAAGAACATGGGCATAAAGTCTTATGGGTACCACCTTATCATCCAGAATTAAATCCAATAGAAAAATCTGGGCACTGGTTAAGAACAATACCACATTTAAACTGAATGATGTGGAGAAATTAGCCAGGAAGAAATTTTCTGAAGTTTCTGTTCAAGAACGGTGTTCTAATTGCGAACATGTAAAGAAATGCGAATCTAAATAGATTCAAAAAAGAAGATATTCTTGATAATACTGTAGATTCTCTTGTGTTTACTCTAAGTACAGGATCTACTTCAGAGGATGAATAGATTTCTTTATTATATTTTCAAAATATAAACTTATAACAAGTTCATTAACTATTTAAAAATAATTGAATCTCAAATTTTTGCTAATAAAGATAGTATAAAAAATAAATAACTGTTAAAATTAAAACTTTATTTGATAGAAATTTTCTATTTATTTTTGTTTAAATTTTTTGAAATTGGGGATTTCAATTAATTTTAGATTTTAGATTTAGGCAGTGACAGTAGTATTATAGAATTACCTTAATTTTTCCAGCATACCTAGATTCTAGGCAAACATATTTCAAATATTGTGATATGACTCAAACTGATGATTTTAAAATCGATATATCACTAAAGTCAATAAACAAAAAAATCTTAAATTTCTACATAATATACTTTTCCAATAATTAGTAACTAACATTTAAAATTTCATCAATTTGTTTAACTACAAATTGGATTAAACAAGTTTTAATTTTTGAAGGATAAAAAGTATAAAATTTTGTAAAATATTTCACACATGTGCAACTAGTAGTCAATTTAATAAGAAATATGACAAACGTTTATTATCACTAAGGGATTTTGTATTCATTGTTCTTACACTTATCATTTGATTAAGCATTATTGTATGCTGCAGATTTCCTTAATGTTATTAGATGTGAAATATTTTAAAAATTTATATATTTTTCCCTGCTTTTCAAAATTTAAAACTTTTAATACTAAAGGCACATAATATGCCTTATTATGGCATTTGAGTTCCAATTTTTCAATTATTTTTGCCAGTAATTTGAGTAAACCATTTAATCAAGATGTTATCAAAATTTTTAGAACATTCCTAAACTAAAATAAACAATTTTATACGTTCCTATTTTGTGTTTTTTTTTTTACCTTTTTTATTACCTAAACAATATACTTGATATGTCCTAAGAAGAGGGCAATATCTCAGCTAGTCCATTTTTATCCCAAAAACGTTTATAACTCACCATTTTAAAGGAAATTTAATCTACTTTTTTTGTATGAAGCAATGACTATTCCTATCTCTACTCAGAAAGCAATTATAAGCAAAAAAGTAAAGAAAAAATATCGGTTTTTGCTTCTTTAATTCTTTTTTTATTTTAGAAAAAAATTAAATAAATAATTTGATGTGAAATCGTATCTTTTACAAAACAAGTCGTATTAACTATATCAGAATTTTGCTTCGTTTTCGAGATAAAATTAAAAAACTTTAAGTTCCACCCGCTAATTCAACAGCATTCCGCGGTTTTTCATTTTTATTGATCATTTGAATTATCATGTTGTAAAAAATCCATGAAAGTGATCATTCCTTTCTATATGACATATTCAATAGAAACTATAAGGGATTTGTATTTTTACAAATTTTTTTCAACATTTCTTGCATTAAAACGGGTGAAAATTGACCAATACTATTTTCATCTTTATATTTATTTAAGCATTAAATTTGAAATGGTTACGCTACTGATTTGAAGTCAAACATCAAATTTGTATAATGGCGCCTGGTTATGACGACACGTTCGCTCATACGACTGCCAGGTGGCGTCTTCTCTCGTGAAACAGATTCTACCACTTTCTCTAAAAATAATTGTACATAACATATTAATAGGAAGTAAGTCCACTGCCCTATTTGAATACTCATCCTTAGCTATTGGTGTTATTATTGAATTTTTAGATCGTCTAGAACTGTATTATATAAAAATACAGTTTATATAACTGTCCCATTTCTCTGATACCCAACTTTGCCAAGGCGTTTGAGATTTGTACATACAATCAAATATTCCCCCAAGTTAAACACATTATACCAGAACAACATGGCTTTGTTTCTCAAAGATCAACCCTTACAAATTTGATCACTTTCACTGAAGCAACTGGTAAAGCAATAGGAGAAAAAATAAAATTATTTAGATACAATATATACAGATTTTTCCAAAGCTTTCGATAAATAGAGGACTTCTATACAAGGGAAGTGCAACCAACTTGACAAATTTTTTTTGACACTAATGACATAAGAAATCGGGTCACATAAAGAGGCTGTTTTTTTGTTAAATTTTTGGTTTTTCTTACCTACTTTTATGCCGTTTAGATACCATGTTGTACCCGTAACGTAAAAAAGACTTTTTATTTTAGGGTATTTTACATTTAAAGGTTGAAAACATTTGTCAATATTAGCTGTCGATAATGTCAAAACATAAGCGTAGCATTGCATTTTATTTTTTGTTGTTAATAGTCTATTTGTGTTTCTCCTGCTTTCTTGAAACATTTTTTGTCATTTGGTTTTACTTATTTATGTCGATTGCAAAATGCTGCTGCAACGAATACAAGTTCTATGCAATATACAACCAACATACAATACTAGTTACGTTGCGCCCATCTATGGTTACGCCTGTGTTCTATCATCAACATAATTGACAGCTGACAATGACAAAATGTTTCAACCTTTAAATGTAAAATACCCTAAAATAAAAAGTCCTTTTCACGTTACGGGTACAACAAGGTATGCAAATGGCATGAAAGTAGATAGGAAAAACCAAAAAGCAAACTAAAAAACAGCCTCTTTATGTGACCCGATTTCTTATGTCATTAGTGTCAATTTTATTTTGTCAAGTTGGTTGCACTTCCCTTGTATAGAAGTCCTCTATTGGATTACTCTATTCTGAATTACAAATTAAGACATTTTGGATTTACTAGAAGCCTACCTAACTTGTTTCAATCTAATTTTAATAATAGATCCCAATTCGTTGAATTTCTGGGGCATAAATCTCAAATATTACAGCAAGTAGTGGAGCTCCACAAGGCACCAATCTAGCACCATTATTGACGTTATTTATTAACATGAGACTAATAATTTATTATTTAAAGTTGACAAATTAAAATATGAAAATACACTTACGTCACAGGAGTGGTTGATAAATCTAGCTGCATTTCCTCTCATAGTGGCATCCACTACGCAATTATCATCCACGCGGAACATGTAGCATCCTATCCCTTTGGAATTGTAATATTTTTCTCTTTTGTCAGTTAAAATCGACCTTATTACCTAAAAAAACAAACAAATATTTACTTAACAAGTTCAGTGACCACATTCAGTTAACCGGACTTAAGAGTTTCTGACAGCTCTTGTCCAGTTTACTTGACTCCCCTTAAATATTAAATATATGTGTTACTATAAACGGCAGACTATAATGCGCTTTGAAAATATATAAAAATAACTTACTTCTCCTGCATATTCTATAACCATTTCTCCTGCTTCTATATCACGAAGGCAAAACAGTCCTCTACCATGTATAAGAGATCTATAAACTCCTACCGAATATTTCGAAGTAAGCTTCAACTGCCGGAACTTCATAGCCATTGGTAAATTTACAACTCTCCTAAAAAAAAAAACAGCAATTTTATAAATATATCCTAAAGCTCTTGCAAGCGCTGATATAACTTCATTTTTTAGTGAAAAAGAAAAAAAAATAATTAACAAACTTTTTTACCTTGGCAGCAACTCCAATGCATCCAGAGATATCTCTTCAGGTTGCCTATGCTTAGATGATAACCAACCGAACATGTCAAAAGGCTCGTGATTCTTATTCTCAAACGGCGCACACCGTATCGCCCCGTGGACATGATCTTGCGTCAAATCGTTGTCAATTTCACTGGGATGGGGTGGGAAATTAAACACGGAGTTATATTTAGTGCATTTCGTAGCTCCCGGCAATTGCTCTATCAAATATTTAGAACCGCTTGATTTGATCCCTAAGATCTGGATAGAGTTCAAAATGCTGCCGTTGTTGGTTGGCAAGGGAGGCATATTGTGGGCTGCACGGGCTGTCTGTACAGCATCCAAAACTTTGGACCAAAGATCTGACACCGACGATGACGAACATTTAAATCCATCTTGAGTTTCCATAGTGTACAATATAGAAGAAGAATTTTCGGAATCTTTCTTAGGCGCTTGTGGTTTTGTAGCTTCTTCAAATTTATCGACTTTTTCGGCCAGTTTTTCTTGTTTAACTGGCTTTTCAAGTACAGCAGGCTGCTGAGTTTGTTGATAACAATTAGATTTTATCGGTTTTAATGGAGCTACTTGTATGGGCTGTTTAGAAGTGAAGTTGGTACTAATTTTGTAAGTACCATCTTGACCTTGTTTCTGAAATACCAGCTTCAAGGAAGTATCTATTTTTGGATCTTCCGGTATGGAGATTTCAACAGCCTTTTCTTCCACTGGTTCTGCTTTAGGCAGAATAACGGTTTGTATTTTTATTGGTTCTATCTTCTCTATCTTGACCACAGGTGCGGGAGTCTCCGGTGTTAAAATTTGAATTTTCACCTCCTTCAACGGCTCGAGTTTCTTCTCAGCCAACAGATGAGTAAAAGCAGGTCTGATGATCTTAGACTCGACGATTTCTATCTTTTTATTGGGGTCCAATTTGCTTAAGGTTTTCGTTAACGGTTTTAAATTGTTGTTGGCTTTAATCTCATGAACTTTCTGCACCAGAATAGGTTTCTTCTTCTCTTCAGGGAAAAACAGTTTCTCATCATCAAAGATGCTCTTCTTCGATTCTTTGGTGTTGTTGGTAGGCATCGGTAACACCCTGCTCATCGGCCTGCTGGGTAGCGACGTAGGAGGTTTAGGAATTGGAGTTACAATGTTAGTAGGAATCCTCTGCTCGGAAACAAAAGGGGCAGTAGGAAGTGAGATGCTATGAGTGTTTAAAGGCGTGACCGGCTTATGTGATGTCTGAGAGTAACTCAACTGCTGGGGTTGTGATGGCTGTGAGTAACTCAACTGCTGGGGTTGTTGTGATGGCTGTGAGTAACTCAACTGCTGGGGTTGTTGTGATGGCTGTGAGTAACTCAACTGCTGATGTTGTGGTGGCTTCATTTGGACTTGAGGTTGTGATGTTTTGATTTCCTGCTTCTGGGGTAACACGTTATTAACTGTATTCACTTTTATAGGTACAGTATGTTGAATTTGATCTGCAGGATTTATTATCACAGGTGAATGAGTAACTGCAGGCTGTTGATTAACAATCAGAGTCCCCGAATTACTGAGAGGCCGAGGGGATTCAATAGAACTGGTGTGTAGTACAGGTGGTTGCGTGTTAAGTAAATGTGAACTAACTACTGGCTGAGAGCTTACAATTGGCTGAGAATTAAGCACTGGTTGGTGATTTACTATGGGTTGTGAATTAACCAATTGCTGCTGGCTAACTATTGGTTGAGAGCTCACCATTTGCTGAGAATTTACAATTGGTTGTGAATTAACAATAGGCTGAGAATTTACCATCTGTCCAGGATTAACTAGGACGTAACTATTAGATGATACATCGAGAACTGGTTCTAGTTTACTGGTTTGAAATACTTGGGTTGTTGTTGAATAGCTGCTGTTCGCTGTAAGGACACCGGGCATTGTTGTAGGTAGGAACTGTTGAGATTGCATCACAGTGTTCTGAACAATGGTTTCAAAACCGTAATACACAGGTTGGACAGTTTGTTGTTGTGACCAACCTAATGTGCCGTTACTGTCCATGACTAGTTGATTCTCAACTCTGGGTTGTTGTATATACATTGTTTGCTGCAAACCGGGAACTATGCTGATTATATTGTTCTCTGGCTGGATTTGTACTATGGACTGAGCAGGTACAGTGTTCACTTGTGGTGCAAGAGTAGCGACGTATTGGACATTTTGTCCCTGTTGCTGAAATGCATCGACAAAAGTTGGAACATAATTTGAGGACGGTAAGTGTTGCATTATTACTTGACCCGATGAACCATGTGTTGGAAGAATAATAGTTTCTTCTTCGTAGTGAGATCTTTTAGCAGCCAAGGTTCTACTTCGAGCCTTCGTTTTAAGAGTCTTTTGAGCTAGTAGAGTTGGTTTGGAAATATGTTTTACCCACTGCGTTCCTGGTACATTGACAGCTTGTAATACTGGATTTGTTAGCAGTTTACCGTTCAAAGTAAACTGATTTTGAGATCCTACATTTAGAATAGTGTTATTATAAGGAACTGACTGGATGGTTACAGACTGTGCTTGATGGAAATCTAAGGGCTGCTGAATAGGAGCTTGATGATTGATTTGATTCAGTGTTAGAGAATTGCTAGTTTGAACTGGGTTTATAGAAATTGACCCACTCGGATTAATCGATAATACTTGGTTACCGGAGTAGGTTGAGGTAGGATTAACTTGAATACTGTTTTGTTGTAAAGTAATAGGTTGGTTTACACACAATGGCACGGTTTGATTTACGCAAAACTGAGGTTGATGATTCGAGTGTATCGACATAGACGGATCGCTCATCATGGGCTGGTTTATGGAATAAGTTTGTTCTGAATGATGATGAGAGTTTTCTATAGTAATCGGTGTTACTGAGTTAACAGGTAACGTATGCAGCAAAGATTTTTGTTCAACAGAATGATTTATATTTGGAATCATCATTTCTGAGTGTTGAGGGACACTAACCACTTCAGAAGTAGACTTGGAAGCGACGAAACTTTGGGTATTGAGTACCGAAGTGTGTATTTCACTTTGGTAGGATTCGAAAGATGAAATAACAACGGGTTCAGTCACATCTACAACCACCTGGTTATCAATCATTGCAGTGCTAGGGTTCATATAAGTAGCCACCATCTCTTGATCAGTATTCATTTCTGAATCACTTTCACTAGTACAAAGCATCTCGCAGGACTCTAAATGTCTTTTATAACTTGCTTGCGTCCTGTAAGTAGATTGGCACTTATCACAAGTCACCGGTTCTTCTGAAATATAAGTTCCCCAAGGATTGGTTGATGTTAAGCCGGTTGGAGAACCACATTCACTGGAACTACTGTCGTCTAAATTACCATCGACTTGCAGTAACTGGTAGATGACGTTGCTTTCTCTAGCAGCGGCCATTTTGCGTTTCTTTATTGCAGGCGATAGAGCACTGTCAAGTTTACAACTCAGCGTTAAACTACAAGTTTTAGGACTAGGACGGATCTTTGGGTCTAATTTGTTTTTCCTTAAATCTTTGTTCATATCTACTTCGTCTTCTAATAAGTCCGATTTCTTGTAATCTTCGGCGTTGTTTATATCAGTTTTGTAATCAACTAGATCGTCGTAGGAAAATTTTGGAAAAATATCCTGAACGGATATACCATCAAGGAGATCATGCGGTAATTCTTCTAGAATAGCATCGGTTAGTTCTGGGGAGAGAATATCAGCACCATTTTGTTGTTCTTCATCATCTTCAGAGTCTGTATCGGAAACTTTTCTATCCAATTCCCGCTGCCAAACGATAATTTCCCGCATTATTTTATCAACAGCATGTTTGTTCAACGAGTGATCGATAGTGAAATTTTTATCAATAACTAGAGTATTGCTGTTGCAATTTTTTATCGACGTCGTCATTGTGTACGGTACTAACTTCCAAGGTTCTATGGTAGACCAAAACATTCTAGTACAAACGAAGCCCACTGGTATTAAAACTTCTGCTGTATCAGACACTATTGGATCTATTTTACCTAAATTCTTCACGCACAGCGATCCTATCATATACGTAGCCTTATCTATTTCCGAGTATTTTTTCTTCTTCTGATCCAGCTCTACAAAGACAGATCTATCGATATCGAAATCTTTGTTATTAGTAATGAGATGGCTTTTCCTCGGTAGATCGTGGGTGGAACAGTATAACGTTTTATCGTACATGAACTTCATATCGGCAGTTCTAGCGCAAGGAAAATGAAAAGTTTCGTGGCAACCTTTATAGCAACATCCAACGCTGGCGCCTTTTTGTTTGCATTGGGCGCAACGTATCATACGACCCCTGTTTAAAGCATTTTGGACGTTCTGCAACGACCCGTCGATTTCTTCATACACCTCTGAAGACCATAACGCGCAATTTGCATGCACCCATTCATTTAGACCACAATACAGAAGTCTGGATTCCAAATGACTCAAACCGTCTCCGACGCCTTTGCAAAACCCACAAAATCTCGTATCTACGATCAGAGATGATACGTTGAAGTATGGTTTGTCTTCAATTGAAGTCACATCTGTAGCCTCGTCGTTAGGATCTATTTCTAGCACTTCTGAAAACTCGTCGCTGGAGGATTGTTGGTACCAGGGAAACACGTCGTGAAATATCGTCTGGTAGATCTTCAACAGTTGCTCGGATTTGGTCGATTTCAAGGATTCTTCGATTTCTTTGTTGAATTCCTTAATAGAGCTGTATTCGTTTGAGATTAATTTGTTTTTGACGTCTACCACGGAAAGCGTGTTGGAAACTTTACTCAAACTCGCTTCATATTTCTCGTTCTCTTCGAACGAGTAAATTTTATTAATATCAACCAGTTCTTTACTGTAATTATTATTGTCTAAATCGGTATCGTCGGTAAACTGAAGTTTCCTCACATTAGTGATGGCTTTATTTGATGGCACGGCGCTATTCAGAGGGCTCCACTTTAATAAATTCCTGGCCGTCTTGTTTTTGCTGAGGAGGCGTAATATTTGGTTGAAACTCGATTTCATTTCATTATTGATGGCTTTACGCCAATAGGGTGATGGAATTTTGCAACAAGAAGGACATATATATTCTACGGATTCGGGAAGTACACTTAATATTTGATACTGTTCCTCAGTTAAATGTTCGCATTTCGCATGTACCCATTTGCAACATTTCGAGCATTCCATCATCTGAAAATTATTTTATTTATTTATAATTATCGAACTACTTAAATTATAATTTATTGTTTACCTTCGAACAGCATTCGTTGTCGTCATAACAGTGCTGACAAATTGAACAAAAATTTCCTTTTTTCCTCAGTTTAAAACAAGTTATGCATAACGGTAGATTTCCGACGAATTTCGTTATATTTGAACTGCCGCAACTTTTACATTTCAGACATTTCGAACAAACCTAAAAAACGCGCTTTTAGAATACTTACGTTTGGAAAAAAATTGAATACATTAAAATAAAGATATTTATGGAATGCTAGCTGTTCTATCAGAAAGATTTAGTCATGAGACAAAGACATGTTACATTTAAAATATAAAAAAAACATATTTTGAATTAATATTATTTCAAGAAAAAATTCAGTGATCAATCACAAAGGCTAATTTTTAATGTAGTATTGAAAAGCATGAAGAATTTTGTTTTATTACTGCTTGGGTGATGAAATTAATAGCTTAACACTAAAGTACTTACTGTAGGTTTGTCATCACTATTCCATTTGTTATTAAAGCATTCAGGATGGTAAGCTTTTAAGCACTTCTGACAGCTAACTTTGTTCCTATCGACCTTATTACACTCGCAGCAAGTAGTACACCTCGGACAAATCCAAGTATAATATTGGTCCCCTCTATCTATAGGTAGAGTTTGGGCTTGCTCTAAGCAAAACGAATGATAAGGCTCACAACAAAGGGAGCAGTAGAGCATGGTCTCCTTCCCGGCACTTCCACAAAGAAAGCATATCGCCGACATGGTGAATTGCTCAGATCCTATTATGCAGAACCCGTTCTGGCAAACTATTTCTGGATCATACCCATCCCAGAAGTCTATTAGAATGCCGAATTGGGGATCTATTAGATTCTTTTTCCTCTCTGGTATTTTGGGCTGAAAAATGCGATAATTTGCTAAAATGTAGTTGCGACACAGAATTTAACCGCATGGATTTATGTATTTTTTAAGTTTTAGAGTGAGAAGGGTATTATTATCATTGAAATTTAATTTCATTTACTATTTTAAAAATGCCAATGCAAAAAATTCAAATTTTATTTTTTCGCGCCATTCGGTTGTATGTCTACTATGTCATGAGTTGAAATAGACCGTATTGGCTTCGAGAAATTTGACCATTCTAATAAAAAGTATTGCAATCATATTTAGCACTTATAAACTAAAAATACTGTAAAAGACCGATCCATACAGTTACGGGGTATTAGAATTAGACCATCGTATATAAAAATATGCTTAGTATACCATTTTAAAAACTAGTATTGGTGACAAATATACATGGGCGCCGCTAAGAGGGAAAAGGAGACTGTGTCCCCTTCTGCGAGATTTAAATTCTTACAATTCATGAGCCTTTTATTAAAAAAAGAGGTTTTATAAAGAATACACATTATTAATATTTTTAGTACATTACCATTTGAATGCTTCTAAATTCTGTTAATAAAAGATTGCTTAGATTTGCTTACTGATTTTTTAGCCTGATGAAGATACTACAAAAACTAAATAACGCCATAACATAAAATACTTTAAAATAAATTAGAAGTGTCCAGACATCACAGTCTGCTATCCAGATAATAGTAGACACTGTACATGTGATGTATTAGATGTAGTAGGCACGAGCAAACACTTTCCCAGTCACTACCATAACTTCGAAAGTAGAAAATACAATCTACAACACTCCAATATCTAAATGGAATACCAAAAAAATCAGATTGCACTAGATACAACAGCGGCCTACAGGAAGAGATAACAATAGAGGACTACCAATCATGGAAGAACAAACTTACAGAAGTTGCCAATGCGATGATCTCAATGACAAAATTATACACAGGTAAGAAAAACTTCAGAAAAAAACCAAACTAGTGAGACAATGAATGTGATGAACTATCTAGATATAGAAGTGTAGCACTCAAAAAATACAAACACAACTCCAACATAGAAAACTTAAATAGCTATAAAAACGCATCAGCCAAGGCCATAAAAATTATGAGGAAGAAAAAGAAACAAGGTTTCATAGAATATACAGAACAACACAATAGAAATACCCCCACAGGACAAGTCTGGAAAGTGGTAAAAATTTTTCAGAATCACTAAAAAAGCAAAAACAACATAAGGAGGATTGGTTAGTCCAACTTTTGGACTCGCTAACTCCACCCTACATCCCAGATGAAAATGAACCACATTTTGAATACTTTAACAACAAATTGTCTACAGAATTCACAATAGAAGAATTACAAGCGACTTTACTGAAGAAAAAAGCAACTGTACCAGGCGAGGATCAAATAACCTATCGAATGATACAAAAATTACCAGACAACTAGTAGATATATTTAATAACATACTTTTAGGAACAGCCCACATACCTACAGACTGAAATTTTAGAAAACTTAATACAAACACGGCTAGAATACCAAATGGAAACCAAACAAGTGTTCAGTAGGAGACAAAATGGCTTCTTCCGTAAAGGAAGAACAGGCACAGACAACATAGTTCAACTTGCAACAGAAATATATAGAGCATTTACAATAGGAGATAAATCAATATGCACTTTCTTGGATATTTCTTCAGCATATAACAATGTGATAATACATAAGTTTAAAAATCACCTCAATATTTTAGAAATAGAAGATAAACTCAAAGTTATTTTACAATTTTTGGACGTTCGTAATGTGTATGTCAGATCCCAACCACAAGTGAACTCATTGGCCCACAACAAACACTTAAAGGAATTCTACAAGGTTCACCAGTAAGTCCAATTTTATTTAACATATAACATATATGTCTAGCATCAAGTATATGGAAACTTAGAAAAATACTACAATATGCAGATGATATAGCTATCCTAACATCACATAAAAATATAGAAATTGCAAAAACTATTTTATCTACTCCTATTAATTTATATATTAATTATTCAACTGCTTTTGAGCAATTAATAGTATCAATAAACAAATAGAGTGAGTTTTAAAAGTGAGTTATTATAACTCACGCTCCTACGATAATTCGGCATATAGTGTGCGCAGTAAATTCTTGGAAATTTTAAAGTCGATGAATGTTCCATTGGCGTAAAATGTTAGAAAGATTTTTTAACAACTGGAAAGGAATGAATAATAATTAAAAGATTTTAAAATTATTAAATTGTCAACGCCTCTCAGTAGGCGTTAAGTTGATCGGAATAATGTCATTTGATATTTTAACAAGATAATTTTGATAGTGAAGATGAGTTATTATGTACACCTCCAGAAATAAGAGAAATAGCTAATAATGTAATACAGAATTTATTACCAGAAAAAACAAAAAAACAAGTATAAAGGTGTATACTAAAATTTTCAAGATTGGTCTAACTCGTTTACAGAAAATGCATATTTTGAGCTAGACCCTTCAGAAATTGACAAAATTAAACTAAACTGGCTGAATGTCTGACGACAAGTGGTCATAGTAACTAGAGAATAAGAATCTCTTTGCTTTAGTGAAATAATGACAAAAAACTTTTTATTTTTTTTACATTTTTGTTATTATTTCACTAAAGCAAAGAGATATTCAACTTCTGTTTGGATTATTAGTTTCAAAACGAGCAAATATTTTTATGAAGAATAAAATTTATTCGAAAAGGTGAAAACAAAATTTGTTCTTCCTCTTTTTCAGTCCATCTGGAGAAACCCTGTATGATAAAAAATAATACAATTGTTTTTGATCCTGATGTTCTAATCACTGCTTTTGGTAACTTGTATCTATTATAAATGAGCTGAGCTTAAAACCTTACTAAGGCGATGCTATATCACAGACTTATACAGTTCCTAACTTTTCAAACTCCACATTTTTCTTCTATCCAGAAGTTAAAGATGATACTATTAAAAATTAAAAAAAAAAGTACTGAAAATGAATCTATATCTGCCAAATTACTAAAAGTAATGGGTGAAAATGTTTCCGATCACCTTACTTATCTTATCAATCTTTCAATTTCCTGTAGTTAGTTTCCGTCACTCTTAAAAGTAGCTTATGTTATTCCTGTATACGAAATAAAATGTGCTGAAAACAGAAAATTATAGCCCTATCTCAAATTTTATGAAATTAGTTTGATAAAAATGGCCTATTGTAAATATTGACAAAATCGAGTGTATTTATTTTAAAATTAATAGTACCACCAACAGTAGTCCATTAACAATAGCTATTAACACCAAAAATTCAGTTTTAAAATCATTAAATTATATAATATTTGTAAGCTTATACTTAAAAAATTAAACAAATCCTATTATGCAATCAGTAGAATTAGAAACTCTATGCCTGTTAGACTTTACAGCTTAGTGCATTGTCATATTAATTATATCTGTACCTTAGAGGTAAAAAATTCTATCTCTAGTTTCGTACTAGCATACCAAGCTTTTTTTTCAAATGTGCGGGGTACATTTGCATCAATTTTTAATTTTTGTTTGTTTTCTCGGTGTTTTCTAGACTCTATTTATTGGTATATCAAAAAATGAACTTAATTTTATTATATTAAACTTATTGGAATTTAAATGGACCAGAAAGTTAATAATAAAAATTAAATGAAAATTCAAGTAACATTTTGCAAGGATACCGTTGTAGCATAAAAATATGGCGTTACTACAAACAGGATGACGAACAAAAAAAGAATGGTTTAAAAATATAAAAAAAATGTTGGGTGTAAATGCACCAACATATCAAGGTATTTCGCTTTATAATCACCTTCCAAAAAAATTAAAGACCCAAACGGCATCAACAAATTATTCTAAATATATTTTTTGTTTTTGACTTGTTCTATACATTCTTTTAATGTGTTAATGAATTAATAAAATATTTTATAATTATTATTATTGATTAAACAGAAAAAAATTCTGGCGGCGCCCATGCTGGTAGATATACAGTGCGTCCATAAAGTAACGCATAAATTCATTATTGGCTAAATGAACAATAAAATTAGGAATTCCCAAAACAGGTCGATTTTTGATTTCAATTTACTATTGTTTCAAATCATAATCTAATATACAGGGTGAACCACTTTCGTGTAATGACGTCATCACCATTTTTTTCAAATGGAACCCCCCCTTTTTTTTCAATTTCCAAATTGCCTTTGCTGAGCTGATTCCAAAAATGTATAATATGTTGCTTCAAATTGGTACGGGGTGGGCAAAAATGCAAAAATTTACTTACAAAGTAATGAAAATAACGAATAAACGTAATAAACACATTAAATGAAATTACGTATTGTTATTACAACTACTTTGATAAACTATCAAGAACATACAGCATTATTCTTAATAATTGTATCTTATAGCTTTTATTAGTGATCCAAATCCCTGGACTATAAAAATCTTTTTGTTTGGCATTATCTTTTACCAGTTTTTATTTGACATACCAGTTTTTTTTATTTGACAACACTGTCAAAAACATTGAAGCACAGTTTCGTATTGTTAACGCTGTAGAGAAGGTACGTTCGTGAACTTTTTTTACAAAATGCCTTTAACCGAAAGTGACAGGATTGAAATATTAATGATGATTGGTATTGGCGATAAGATGCGGACTCAACAAGAGGTATGCCGATTATTCCATGAAATGCACCCAGATCGTGAACCTATTTCACAATCTACGGTAAGTAGAATAGAGCGAAAATACAGAGAATTAGGACATGTGAGGGATGCAGCAAGGCAAGGTAGACCAAAAATTGAAGAAAATATTCAACAAGACATAATTTTGTCGGCTGTAGAAAATCCACACTGTACAGTGCGAGGATTATCTAGGGATTTTGGTATTGGAAAGTCTTCAGTATCAAACATTTTCAAAAAGGTAAAATACCATCCTTATAAAGTACGTCTCATCCATGAATTGGCTGAAGACGACTTTGACCGAAGAACTGAATTCTGCGA